ACCGCCTCCGACAAGGACCTCGTCCACATTACCGTCAACATGACGCTCCAGCGCTTGGGGAAGGCGCTCTACGACGTCTCCGACATCGGCTACGTGGCCATGGACGTGGGCTCCCGCTCCGCCTACGACGACTGCCTGGAGCTCTTGGCGGACTCCGTCGACCTGCTCGCCCGCTCCCTCACCACCATGTCACCCGCCTCGACCGAAGGAGAAGGGGACGGCTCAGGCTCCTCATCCTCATCCTCATCCTCCTACGTGGGGTCCACACAGGACGTGCTGACGTGGCTGAGCGCCGCTCTGACCAACCAGGACACGTGCACGGAGGGCTTTGGGGAAGTCGGAGGCGGGAGCGTGAAGGATCAGGTGTCGGAGAAGCTGAAGGACCTGACGGAACTGGTGAGCAACTGCCTGGCGATATACTCGGCGGCGGGGGGAGACGGTGATGATTTCTCAGGGATTCCGATAGGGAACAGGCGTCGGAGGTTGATGGGCGATGATGAGGAAGGTTATGGTGGTAACCATAAACAGCAGGAGGAGGAGTTTCCGAAATGGTTACCGAGGAAGGACCGAAGGTTGTTGCAGGTGCCGGCGACGTCGATTCAAGCGGATATAATAGTGTCGAAAGACGGGAACGGAACGGTGAAAACAGTGGGGGAGGCGATCAAGAAGGCGCCAGAGCACAGCACTCGCCGGATCATTATCTACGTCAAGGCAGGAAAGTAAGTTCGTTCACTTTCAAGTTTCACCTTCACGTGGGATGAGATCTACTCTCACAAATGCCCTTTTCTTTCTTTTTTTTCTTTTTTCAGCAAGTAGTGTGACCTTTTCACCCACTTTATAGTTGCTGCCTTTTTTTTCTCTTTGGTGATTAATGACTACTATGGTTGCCATCAATTGGCTATTTGTTGCTGGCACCGTCACACGCTGAATAGTGCTCTATTACTCTCTTTTTTTTAAAAAAAAAAAAAAAAAAATTTTTGTGTTCAATGAATCATCATTTGCTGCAAAGAGTGGCGGGAAATTGTGACACCACCACCGACAAGATTTAATATTTAATATTAATTAATTGTATACGTTTGTGAGATTAATTAATATGACACCACCACCGACAGTCATATTAATTAATTGTTCAACATTTGTCATCTTTCAGGTACGAGGAGGATAATTTGAAAGTTGGAAGGAAGAAGACGAATTTGATGTTCATCGGGGATGGAAAAGGCAAGACGGTGATTTCAGGCGGAAAGAGCATTTTCGACAAAGTCACCACATTCCACACCGCGTCTTTCGGTATGTAAAAACCAACGGCCTTTTGTGTTCTTTCAATTATTATTATTTTTTCTCTTAAGCTGTGGTAATTAGTACGTAGTAAAAGGCGTCTTTGGCTTGCTTTACTTTATATATACACACACACACACACATATATATATATATATATATATATATATATACATACACACACACACATTGAGGGCAGAAATTTGAAGCGCTTATTTAGTTAGTACTTAGTAGCAGTAGCTTAGAATCAAACTTTTGTGTGTGGCGGAAAACAAAAAAGGGGGCATCAGATACCACCGATGTGCCAAATGAGTGTTGTGGAAGAAGAAGGAAACGATGCACGTGTCCTCTCTCTCTTTCTTTTTTCTTTTTTTTTTTTTTTTCAATTTAAGGTCGCTTTTTTAACTTTTTTGTTTGTGTGGCTTTTGCCCATAGAATCGGGCCGATACCGTTTACACTTGTTTATAGCTTAGCTCATGCATTGTATGACGAAAGATTTGTAGTCAACACCTTGACCCTTGTTTGGTCACTACTACCCATCCATATGCTTAGATGGTATACATTATTAGGTTTGTTTGGATTGCTTCATATTTTCTCTCCTCAATTTTATTTGCTTACATCATTTTTACAATTTTCAATACATCTTTTTATGTTTCTAATATCTTTTTATCTCACATACATCATATCACAAAAAATGTTACAGTAAAAATATCCCAAATAATCCCAAATAACTTACAATCCAAACAGATTGAATAAGAGGATACAACAATTAAATTAAATGTTAGTAGCGTCTCAACATTTTCAGCTAAAAGTAAATGTTCTTCTATTTTTTTTTTTTTTTTGTGGACGCTTGAAAACTTGGAACTTTCCCATGCTGGCTGGACAGTACGATATGTTAAATTTTGAAAAAGCTGCCTTTCCCATCTTCAACGTCGTCTACTTGGAATTACTGCACACTTGTCTGGTACTAGTAGAATACTATGAGGATAGTGATGTTGGTGGCCTCAACATAATATTATATTATTATGGGAGTTGTGGGGCATATCCCATACTGTCATACTAGTAACACGCATGCTGGTTGTGGACATCAATCGTCAACTTACGCGTTTTTGGATCATTGAATTGTGTAGTATAGACTATAGAGTCGATAGATATTCAAGCAAAGTAGTTCTTATGCGTACTCTCTTCTTGTCCTACCCACGTACTTCAGTTTTGGTAAAAGATTCCAATTATTTTCCACCCCCCGTACAGCTCTCTTCCTTGTCCTGCTTCCAAGGAGGAAGTTCCAACTTAACTTCTAGTGCAAATGTGCAATGCAATTTTTTTATTTACTCTCTATCTATCTGTCTTTGTCTGCTGCTGCGCACAGCGGCTACTGGCGCTGGCTTTATTGCAAGAGACATGACCTTTGAGAACTGGGCTGGTCCAAGTAAGCATCAGGCTGTAGCTCTTCGAGTGGGCGCCGATCATGCTGTGGTCTACCGCTGCAGCATCGTCGGCTACCAAGACACCCTCTACGTCCACTCACAGCGTCAATTTTTCCGAGAATGCGACGTCTATGGGACGGTGGACTTCATATTCGGTAATGCTGCGGTTGTGTTCCAGAACTGCACTCTAAACGCTCGCAAGCCGATGAACCTCCAGAAAAACACCGTCACTGCCCAAAACAGAAAAGACCCTAATCAAAACACCGGGATTTCTGTTCATGCATGCAGAATCCTGGCGACGCCTGATCTTGAGGCATCAAAAGGCAGCTTCCAGACGTACCTAGGCCGCCCGTGGAAACTGTACTCGCGAACGGTCTTCATGCTATCCTACATGGGCGACCATATTCACCCGAGGGGATTTCTGGAATGGAACGCAACGTTCGCTCTCGACACTCTGTACTATGGCGAGTACATGAACTACGGACCGGGAGCAGCCCTTGGACAGCGAGTAAAGTGGCCGGGCTATCGAGTGATCACGACGCCGGCGGAGGCCAGCAAGTTCACAGTTGCACAGTTCATCTTTGGATCGTCGTGGCTACCCTCAACCGGTGTTGCTTTTATGGCCGGCCTATCAACTTAAAAGAGGATGCCAGTTACTGTACGTTTTTACTCCAAACCCTCGTCCGTTCATTGGAAGGATCGTGGCGTCTTCCTATATATTTTATGTGGTCGGTTCCCTACCCACTCTACTTTTTTTTTTTTTTTTTCCCGTTATGCATATTATGACTAATAAAGTAAATCGAGTTCTGTATGGCTCAAGATGGATAGGTTTTAGGTTAAATTAATTAAAATAACTGTTCAAAATTTATTTATCATTTGCCCTGTAATGTTACTTATTATATACTGGTACTGAATGTAATTCTCAAAACCCCACTAAGTGTGAAAAAATAAATGCAAAAAGATTGCAAGAGCAAAAAGGGGATTCATTCATTCAGCTGTGTAATTTTCATGACAGCTACTGATACCGCTGTATTATATTATATTATTATATATTAAAATTGTGTTTAGATTGTATTTTTTAGAATTTTTTTTGATAAAAAAATTACTGTAATAATTTGATGTATATAAAAAAAATAATAAAAAAATATGTTCATGAAAAAAAATATAATTTTCACTAAAAAAAAAAATGGCTGCCTTGGATTCTCTCTTCCAAGAGGCAGAAGAGATCCCCCGGGGGGGGGGGCGGGGGGTTGGGTGATGCTGACTTAGAAACAGTAGTGCTGATGCTGATGCCTGTGTCGGTGGCAAGGGATCCCAAAAAGTAAATGCTTAAAACCAATTATAGGTGGGCGAGTCCTGGTTGAAATTAAAAGTGCGCCGCGCCCAAAATGTTCTCTCTCTCTCGGACTCGACCTTTTTTTTGTGACAAGGCTCATCCGATCCGACAATTACGTCAACTTCAGTTGAAAAATGAGTGATATAACCACAAATCAATTTTGGTTTATGGGTAAAAGCGCGCATGTCTGTGTCTGTCTGGTCCGATTTGAAACAGCCATTTCCACTCGAATTAATGCATAAAGCTAACGGTGATTTTGGGCTGCAAAATGAAAGGGCATTTACCAGAAAATCCGTTCTCACAAAGGCTTTTTCCCCTCCAAGTTTATGCGAAGTCTCGTTTACACAGGGGCGTTCGGGTCAATCCTTACGGAGTCCTATTAATTTTCTGCGATCCGGATCCGACGTCCCAACTAGACCCGAACGTGATAAGTGCGCGGAGGAATCCAGCGGAGCGAAAACTCGAACTTGAGACCTAAGGATCACCGGTGAGAGGCGCTACCGCTGGATCATTCATGCAGGGGCTCATTTGGCTTTGTCGTAACGGAGGAAATATATATATATATATATATATTTTTTTTTTTCATTTTTGTTAAGAGTGACTTAGATCCGCAGAAGAAAGAATTGGTGTAAAAAAAAAAAAACTATCTAATCAGAGTCCTATAAACACTGCTAGAATGTATTTCAAGCGTTAGACTTTTAAAAATATAAAATTAATTAAAAAAATCATATAAATATAAGAGGATTAATTATTAGTGTACTTATATACATGATAAGTTGACTAAAATGTAGATGTGTTGACAAATACTTATAAAACACCCATTAAAAAAAAACCCAAAAAATTTTGAAAATTCAAATGGGGGGATTATTCTTCATGGTAATTAGATTCCTTCGTGACCAACAAATACCAGCTAAATTGGTGGACTCCTCTCAATCAGAGAAAACAACGGCACTTGAAAGAACAAAAATTTGACGAGACTTTTACAAGGAAAGTGATGCTTTCAATTCTCAGTTTCAACAGTCATAATGCTCAAAAGAGGAGCGCAGGATATGGCAACAAGTTCCAGGACATCAGGGGTGGGGATATGGGATAAACAGAGCGGAGTTAAGCGCAACAAAGTTATAGGGTCGCGATGTAGGACTACCATGGATGAACAGAGAGATTAAGCAGCATCCTTGGCCGTCCGTCCTCCATTCGACCAGTCACAATGTTCTATCTACGTACATTCTACCTACCTACATATTTACTTGCAGACATGCCATCAAGGTAACGATCCATGATCAATGACACCGACTCGAGGAATGCTGCTTCGCTCATTCCAGGAAGCACAGCTCCTTGTGCTTCTCGGACAATTTGCTCAAGAGCCGATTTCTTCTTCAGTGTTTCCCTGCACATGATGCTTCCAATTAGAAATGCATTAAGCCCTCTCTCTGCGCCTTTTTTCAGCAGCATGGTGGAGATGCGAAGGATGCGCGCGCAATCAAATGGAAGTTCCCATCCATGCAGCCTCAAAAGCTCAATGTCTTTCTCAGCGTCAAGCGAGTTTATGTAGCCAATTATCTCTGGCGAAAACGGTTGGCGTGCTTGAGGCCAATTGAGCCAATCAAAGGTGCAGTCTTTGAACTGCAGCAAGGAAACAACAAGAAAAAACGCAAACCAATGGAAGAACAATACAAATCAGAAAGAAGAAACACAGGATGGGAAAGAAATAAACCTCAAAACAATGACAATGATCAAGGTAATCTAAAACCCTCACGAATGGAAATCTCACTATTGGTCGTTGCCGTACCCATAAAAGTACGATGCAAAATATACTAGACTTCTTTCAAATGAACTTTTGTCCTAAAGCTACCGACTTTAAGTATCTCTGCACAAAAAAAACTAGGCACCTTTCTCAGGAAACTACTTGTTACCAGAGTGTAACATCAAAATCTGACACTTATATGTTTTGGAAGTTGGAACAGGATGTAGCCTCGGATTTAATTTCCAATTAACACGGGCATCGGGACACCATCATTAACCTCAAATGCTTATGATAGTACAGAACACATGACACTTTCTAGGTGAATTAACTCCCAAAGCACCCAATGTAACCCCTGCCTTTAGCGTCCTTAAAATTTCAAATGGTTACAATAAGTTATATCAAGTCGTCATGTAGAAAGTTCGATGTGCTTACATTTTCAGGCAAGCAGTAGCCATGATCAATTGGAACGAGGTTAATCCGACCTTCTCCCGAATCTTTGCAAACCAAGATGTTGCCAGCATGCCTGTCTGCATTTGCTAACCTAATATCCAGAACACAAATCTTGTGTACTTCATCCACAGGAAAATTACGGGGCCCCATGTCCTCACAACTGCCGCAGTTCTCCATGAACAATTGGAGTGATCCAACCTTGGTATTCTTATAGGATGGGTGAAAGCCCTCAGAATAATTGAATGCTTCATGTTGACACTTGACAATCACAGTTGGGGGAACGCCAGCAAAGCCTTTCTCATTCTTAAGATACGAGCATTGTCCACCCTTCGGATGATCCAAGATGTATGCTGCAACTTCCCTTACAGCCCCTTCACCAACTCGTGTCCCTTTTTTCAACCCTTCACCATTGACGGACAAGGGAACCCCTCTAGGGTTGTTTACAGCCATGGGTTCCTCATCAACTGGCTTAAATACAGAAATATACTGCTGACCAGATGAATCTTGCATGAAATAAACACCCCCTGACCCCTCAGACGACATAATCGGTGGATTACCCTTCTCCAGTCCATGGTAAGTGGCATCAACAAGTTGCTTAATCACAGATGATAGCGTAATATTTGGATTGACTACTAGTGGTTCCAAAAAGAATTCTTTCTCCAAAGGCTTTATGGCAGCAACTGGAAGTTTCTCAACTAATGATTCCTCCTCAGAACTTCTCTCATCTACTGAGTCAACCCTCCTACTCTTATCAACTTCTGATGCAACAATCGAGACTTCAAAATCTTTTTCAACAGGCTTAGCTCTAACTTTTGCTGACTTACGGACAAGCAAGTGTATTACTGCTTCATTGCTCTTACAAATATCATCAATGAGCCTCTGATCTTCTAGTTCCTCACCATCACATACTAACTCCCGATCCTTGAGATCGAGAAATTCATTCCCGCTTCTAGCAATCTGCTGTTTCACATAGCCCACATTTCTCTTTCTTCCAACATGGAACTCAAACTCTTTCCCACAAACAGTTCTAACAGTAATCGCCTGGAGATCTGATAGCCTAAGGACCAAATGCAACACATTCCCATCAGTGACCCCATAGTCCTGAACACGGGAATTATTCCGCGATAATTCTTTCCCATCAAAGACAAGTTTTTGATTCTTCACAAAAAATCCCTTACGGTTCTGTATCCTGAGCTTTACAGAAGCAATAGAATCAGACCCCATTACCTGCATAGGAATCACAGACCCTCCAATTGCAAGGAAAATTACGATGGATTCATTTGAAAACGCCCCATTTCTACCCAAGACACGACCAGGAAAGTTCCAATAATCTTCATAAACAGGAGCAAGAGCCACACTGGCAATCGACATTGCAGCTGCTCCAATAGATAATCCTCCCCTGTATATCAAGCGGTAAAGTTCTCAATTTTTTAAGAGCCCACCACAACAATCACGAAGTTTGGTTCTTCAACTGCCTAATTAGTCAACCACTTGACAAAACCATACAACACGTTAAAATTCCAGAAACCTATCAATCCACAAACAACAATTTATCACGTCAGAACCAAGAACCCAAGAATATTCTGTCACAAATCAAGAACCAAAATTTAGCCTGAAGGGACTGAGTACAAGGAAATGAGGCAGAACCCTTACATCGATAGTAGTAAACAAAGCACAAGGATTTGTAATATTGTGGTGCTATGACCTGAAACTCAATTGCACCGCCCTTCAACACATTCTCAACCTGCAAGATACACCATCGCCAAAAGCAAAAGCTTTTTCCACTAAGAAGGCAGAAAGTTTTTGCCTTCTCAGGATTCCCGAGTACCAATTATGGTCTAAACAAGAAAAACCAACCGAAGTTAAACGTGGTACATCTTGACTTCAACAATGTCTAATAGGCTAGGAAAAAATTTGAACTTCTTATCGGGAAGAGGCAAAAGGAAAGTTCAAAGCAGAGCGTGGCAAATTGCAGAACAAATTGTAAGTAAAATTGAAGGGAAATTATCGAAGGATCTATCCAAAACCCAAAATATTTTCTTCTCCAATATCCATGATCACCTCCTGCGTTTTTTTTTTTTTTTTTTTTTGGTTCAAGAGGATTTTTTTCCCCCCGTTTCTTGCACTGCACTCACTTTGCAGGAGGAGATTTTTTTACCGGGGGCACAGACAGGGAGTGTGATGAGTGAAAATTTTTACTACCATTTGCATTGGGGGCTAATTTGGATTTACCAGCACAGCTGCGTAGATGTAGCCGTAGTGTTGCTGGAGGCCCCACGGAAATGATGACACGTAAGCACTTTCACCGCAAGAATCGGGAGACCTTACTACCATGTTCTAGAACTTTACATAGATTTGAAAAGAGGTTAAAAAATAATTTTAAAAAAGTTCTTCCTCTTTTTATTTTTTTGTTTTCTTTAAGGGATAATATCAGAGACCTCCCTTGAGCTTTATCCTAATATCACTTTCCGCGCTTGAAGTTTTAAAAATAATCACTTACCTCTCCTAATAATTGCAAAAGACTATACTAATCCTCAATTAATATATAATTCACATATCAAATAAATGGAGATCAAAATTAAATAAAAAAGAAAAAAATGTCACTTTCTTCTTTTTCTCTTTCCTCCAATTTTTTGTCTTCCTCATTTTTGGGATGATTATGTGATTTTTTATTTGTAATTTATAATAAATTAAATTTTGTTTATTTTTAACTTTTTTGTAATTGTGATAGAGTGGAGTGTCATTTCTTTGTTTATTTTAGGTTGACTTTTATAATGATCAGTATAATTTAAAAGGTTTTGGCAATGATTAAGAAGAAGTTGGAAAAAATATAAAGTTTATAAGAAATCGATTTTGAACATATACAGTTAAATTAATCAAGTGTATTTCTTTGCAAATACCTTTTTATTTTTTAAATCCATATTCTTATGGACTATAGCATTATGATTTGGTAGTACTATTAGATATTATTTTTTTAAATGATAGTTTTCTTGAAATAAACAAAGTGATTTATGTGTATTTTTATTTAACAAGTAGAAGGATATTTTAGATTGTTAAAAAAAAAATTCACAAATAACAAAAATAAGGGAAGTAAGTGATATATTTAAAACCTTAATGATGCCAAATGATAATAAGAAAAATCTCAAGGGAGGTTTCTGATATTATCCCCCTTTTAACGCTTCTCTCTTCGATTTTATTTTAATTTTAAATGAGACAAGAACAATTTCTTTCCTAAAGTTGAACAAAGAAAAATAACCAAAGAAGATGAAATAAACGTCATCATTAGATCTTGTTTTGCATAACTTTCTTTGATGAATCAATCAAAGATGTATAATTTATATTGGACTTAATAGTAGTGGAGAGCTCGAACATACTACATTTGAAATACATGTCCTGATGTGAAAAATGCAATACTTGAATTACTCCTAGTAAATATGGGTGGAGTGAAATTGCATTTTTAGTTGGCAATTGGAATGACTGCACAATTGTAGCCTCGATCTAAGAGGAGTAGCAACTGTATCATTGCTTGGGAACAAAGGCAAAAGAAAGCACGTTTCCGCTCAGTTATGTGTCTCAAGAACAGAAGGAAAGTTTTATATTATGGCAAGGCGCAATTCAGATTTGGTAGATCCCAGCATCCGCTCCTTCCTTTAGTGCCGGCGGCAAGCTTGTCCTTCGTCTATTCTCTTTCATCCGTCATGGGTAAGAATTATTTTTCCCAAAGATCCCTTACCAGGCTTCTCAATCAAGTTTGGGATAATTTCAAAAATCTCCCTTGTGGTTTATGACAATTTTACTTATCTCTCTCTCAAATTTTTAAAATTTATACTTACCTCCCTTAATTTGACAATTTTAATAATCAAACCTTAAAATAGGATAAAAACTTAAATGAATATCTTAAGTTGCTCTTATTTTAAAAAGTTTAATTTATTCTTCTAAATCATTATAAAGTAATTTGGGACAATTATAAAAGAAATGATAAAATACAGAAAACCCTTTTGTGATTTTATCAAAGGTCACAAAACCCCCTTATTATTTAAAAACACCCAAATAGCCTTCTTTGTATTTTGGACTAATATAGGAAGTGGACAAAGACCTTCCTTATTAACAGAGAACTGTGAAATTTCAACTCTACCCTTAATTTAAAATACCAAAAATCAATTGGGGGCATCAATTTTAGTTTTTGGGGCCTCAATTTCTACCCTTAATTTAAAATATAAAAAGAAATGAATAAGAAGGTTTAAGGGGGGGGGGGGGAGGGGGGAGGGAAGGGGAATATGAAACCCATCTTATGGATAAGAAGTGCAAACAAGGGAGCTTTATTTGAATATTAAGGTTAGCATTATCATTTTTAATGGACAAGGAAGGTATGCATAATTTTTAAAATTTTAGGGGTGTTAAGAGAAATTGTCAAAAATTTGTGGTTTCTAAATTTGTCCCATTAAGTTTTAAACCCTACTTGATAACCCAATTCAGCATTTAAATTTAATAGATTCAGATCTTAACATATTCAGACCGTTTGATAACCAAAAATTGAACATCTGAATTAATTAAGTAGTATTGAATTTTCTAGACAAAACTTGCTCCGAAAATTAAGTGTTAAACTATTCACTTATCACTAAATGTGATATACACTCAAATGTATTAGATTTAATACTTACAATTCAATAATTTAATGATTTCATTTTTCATTTTTCAATTTTTTATTTTATCAATCGCACCCTTAGAGTTTTAACTTGGCCAAGAAGAATGGTATAATCTTTCCACTAGGCAATAGCCCACTATTTTAAAAGAAATGGGGGAGAGTCATTAGCCAGACGAGATATTAATTGACATTGATTTCCGGAGACCTATCCACATATATTTCAAAGTACAAAGTCTGATTAGGTGATTTGTCTGCTAGTACACAAATCTATTTGTAACCAGCAGTGCAAATACCAGTGCTTAGTTCGACATTTTATTTATGCCTCTGAACTTGATTTGCTGAAATGTTCTGTGAGCCACATGCCCCAGGCCAATGTATTGGCATTAGCCAAAACACATTAGCAGAAAAACAATCATACAAAAGAAAAGAATAAACTGCAATGTTATTCCGGTGTCTCTCAACAAATGCAGAGTTTACTCGTAAATTTTGTACACGAGCACGTATGGTACATGGCAGCCAATACAAAGCTCAATTACAAGTTCTGGGTATTGGACACAGCTAAAATTGTTCAGCGAATCAAAAGAAGAAAAAAAGGCCTTTTTTCCCTTTATTTTTTCCCTTTATTGCCAGAGAATCCCGAAAAGGGGATGGAAAAAGAACGGGAAGAGATGAAAGTATGAAAACTGAGACTACAAGAGTTTCTCAACCTGATGAGGGACAGAACCAACTGGAACAATGAATCACAACTGGTTCATTCATCACAAATTCCTCTCAATGAAATCCCATATCCTTTCTTCCATATATATACGGTCCCTATGCCGGCGGGGCATGTGCCGCTCGTCAGGAAATATCAACAACTCATAAGGCTTACCAGCAGCCACCAACGCATTTACAAGCCTTGCAGTGTGCCTAAAATGCACATTTTCATCAATCATACCATGCACGAGCAGCAACTTCCCCTTGATTTTCTCCACATGGTGCATCACAGAGCTATGTTCCTGTAAAGTATACGAGGCCAGCAGCCTCATTTACTCCAGCAACTTGCTCAACCATCCAATCTCCTTGAGTTATAGGTCCCAAGCAAACTCCATTTGAGTCATGAAGATACAGGTGTCTAAATCCTGTTTCTCACTCGCGCCAAATAAATCCCCCATGGTATTTATTGAGTCCTTTATCCAAAGGGTGAAGCAATCATGCAGAGTGATCCATGTCTCATGCTCTTCTTCCACAAGTACTTTCCTACAGCCTGTTTTGATGTCAAACCTGAGGATTTTGAGCTTAGAATGCGATCTACTCAAAACCTGAGCAGTAAGAACATTTCCATGCATCCAGTTTACTCTTGCTAAATATTCCTCATCACCATCAGCTTCGACCTTTTCTCCACAGAGAAGATCCATCCACACCACAGGACCTCCAACGACAGAAACCACCCCAATGCGCACTTTGACATTGGGCCCCCCAGCAAAAGGGTAAGCATGGTCCTCCTGTGCGTCTGAACCAACAGAACTTCTACCTTGGTGCATGATTCTGAAAAGAGGTATCTCAGATGAATCAACCTGTGTAAATGCCAAGAACTTGCTGTCCAGTGACCACCAGTAACCATTCTTTCGTTCCATCTCCTCCTAGAATCAGAAAGATGGTTCCAATCAACTCTGTGCATTAACCTATTTCTTCTCCCATAATGGGCACTAAACTATTGAAAATCTCAGAAAATCTAAAGAGAATGAATTATCTCACCTGTGCTATATATTCTGCAAGACCATGCATCTGAAACAACCCAAACGAGAAATGATCATCATATTCATACATCTTAAACATAATTCAGTCCAACAAAAAAGGTCCATCAAATGGACCATAATACAGGCGTAATAAGACAAAACGTTGAAGGAATAACACTTAATTGTTGTTGTTGGCAGATTACTGTCATTAGAATAGACCAACAAGTTTAAATGAGAGCCAAATTTGGCCTAAAAGATCAAATGATGAAAACACGATTCCAAGAGGTCATAAATTGCAAACACAATTGGTGGGCAACCTGCACTGCTAAAATACACTTATTTGTACACTATGATTGGTCAAAATGATCTCTCTAATTTGTAGACATCATATATATCATCATAGGGGCCATCTCAAGTATACCAACAATATTGGACTTTATGCTTACTAGATTGATTCCATCAGCACCGGATGTCAACTGCTTTGAATCGTTGTATAAAAGGTTTAACACATGAAGCTCACTATCTCTGACATATGCAAGCATGGTCCATCTGGGGAGATGTGTGGATCAATAATTGGAGAAGATGCTACACTTGGAATCTTAAGCTCTGGCTGCAGATGAAAATCCTGGATATATATCTGCGATGGATCAAACAGAAGTAGGTTAGATGCGCACAGGCCCATGTCAGTAGATGAAATGGATTCTTGTGTAAATGAACCATTGGAAAGCATTTTTTTTATGCAAGCAAATACTGTAGCACTTTTTTGGATAATTTCTTAAAATACTATAG